TGGGCATCGGGTTGAGCCGCCGAGCCGCCAAAGGCCGGGTGGAGGGATGAACGATCGAAAGCACGCTCGTTTCCGTTCTGGCGGGCCAGCCGTTCGTAATAGTCCCCCACCGCATCTTGCCACGGCCGATTCTCATTGTCGGGGTTTTCATCATCTGGGTCAGCAAATGGGTCCTCGCTCAGTGTCGTGGAAGGAGGTCCACTCGCGGTCGATTGCTCGTCCGGATTTGAGCGCGGAGCATCGCGTCCGGATGTCTTCCTGATACCACTGCTGGCATTCTCTGACCCCCTGGCTTGCTTTTGGTGCACTTTCGCTTCGCGTCTCTGTTGTCGCGCTGCCTTGACATCTTTGAGCATAGCCCGAATTTCCTCGGCTAAGTTTGCGCTTCTTTTAAAGACTTCTCTTTGTGCAGCCTCAGGGAACTCGTTAATCCACGCGTCCACGATCCTTTGCAGGCATGGCGACGTTCTCTTCGTCCGGGCAATGAGATTAGCACGAAGGTCGCCAAGGAAAGAGGGACGAGATCCGAGTGCTGACAAGATGCACGCCTCACAATGTGAATTAACATGGCTTAGCACTTTCGGCTGGCGACCATAGAGGAGTTCAAAGTTGTACGTGTCCATCCACAAGGCCTGGATACCATCCAGACGACGAACGAATTCTTGTATCAAGGGTGTAAATTCCGGACCTCTGTCGCGTTGTCGGTCATGTCGCAAGCTGGCCGTTTCCACTGTGATCTCTTTCAGAACCAGTGCAAAAAGGGCGTGAATTGTCCAAGGATTCAGGCCGCGATGGCTTGAGCAAAGGACTGCGGCCGGCGGTGTGAACGAAGGGTTATACTTCTCGCTGATCTTCATCAAACCGCGAGTAACAACGCTGACTACGTTGGTCTTGCTGCGTGGACGGAGACAAGCCGTGGGCAGTTGTTTCATCGTCTCCTCTTGCTCCCTCAGCCAACTTTTTGGGGGTTTCGCAATGCTGTGCTCCACCGGGAGATAAAGGTATCGAACCAACCTCTTCACCGATGCGTTTGTTAAATCGTGTACACTTTGGTACGGGCTGGACATGGTGATAAGTTGATGAGAAATTTTGAGTGAATCGTTAAAATTTTCGGTATAGGTGTCACTAGTTTTGAGGCTGTTTGTTTTCGCTGACTGCGATCCAAGAGCTGCAACGGGCAGTCTTTCTATACTCTCTTACGATGAAATAGCCACATCATTACGGAACAATCTCGAAGTTGACAATGTCTTTGAACCATAACTTGCTTGACCAAGGACAACAAGCTGTTCCTTTGGGTTCAAGCAACACAATGCAAAAGACACAGGTAACTTTGGCGCAGGAGAGCAGTATTGGGCTGTGACAAATAAAGAGAGAGACATTGTCCTGCTTTGTCGAAATCTTCCTCAATTCTAAACCGCAGAACAAGTGCGGAGGCTCTCTTTTATGGGTGTTTGTCGCCGTCGTTCGTCAATCTGAGAGAGGCGGGCAAAATTACCCAGGCCGCGGCTGCGGTCACATTTGCATCGGCATCGACCAACAAAGCCAGGGATAACAGAGGGCTGGGAATTATCGCCGCACTTGTAGTTGGTCACGTGTGGAGAAGTCCCCGGCGTTTGGTTTGATTTGTGGCGGCAACCATTGATTCGTGACTCGCGAGTAGCAATGGAAACAGACGCATCATTTGATCGAACCTAAAAATGAGTGGGCTGATGTAAGCGACATGCTCAATCAAAGTAGCTACTGTGCTAGGAACGACTCACAAGGCGGTTCTGCTAGACACAGTCTCGTTCCTGGATCCTGTGATGTTGAAACAGTCTACTCAAATCAGTTACGGTCTCTGAAAAAAAAGTTGAAAGCATCGATCAGTAGTCACTCCAGAAGACTGAAGAAGTGGTTGGCAAGCCGGGGAGGCTTGCGTCGGTCATGAGAATCGCTCTATTGAGCCTGGCGACAAGGCACGACATCTCTCTCATCGAAACGTCTCTACTAGCAACGCTGTCCAGGGCGTGGCTTGACCGTTCGTGCTACTCTCTCGTGTTGCTGCGAGCTTGACCCTTATCCCGCGAAACACAACCCAAAAAACCCCCGCATGCCATCAAGCCTTTTGTTATTAAGGGCAGAACATGGCTGACCTTTGATGAGGCCCATGTCGGAAAAAAATCAAGTCGCACGAGCGCCATGCCCTTCCAATTCCGTCGGCCCCCATCGTACAGACCAGATATCAAACGGCCCAACTCCCATATCATGCTCAGCTTTGTTCGTTATAGACGTAAGGGTTCGAAAACAGCTTCGTAGGCTAGGAATCATACGTGGTATCGGTGATCCCCCTCCTGTCTCATTCGCTCTAGGCGGATCTTGGCCGCTTCCGTACCATCGTCCGGTGTCGCTGGTTCCTTGAACCAAGGATGTTGCAATGCCTGCTTCGCTGTAATGCGATGCTGGGGATCGTAGACAAAGATCTTCCGAAGGAGATCCAGGAAGTTCTTGAAGTAGGTTGAGTTCGACGGGATGATATCCTACAAATCGTTAGTGAGCCGTCTTTCAGGACTCTGTGAGCCTGTTTTGCCTACCTCCAATCGTCTCATAGCCTTGACGAATCTCTTGGAAGCTCGTGTTGTCTCGGGTGTAGGATAGTCAAGTTTCAAGCGCTTGAAGTATCTGCACTGTATCAGTATGCGTTGCTCTTGTTAAAAAGGCCATGAACCACTCACTTGGAGGCGGGGTTTCCACCACTTCTAGTAGCCATCTTGTTCACAGCTTGGACGAGGCTGGAGTCTATCCTTTGCCCGACGACCATTTCCATCATTGCGAGGTGCTCAAGGTTGTCGTGTGTTTGGAAAAGAGCATCGCCGGTGAAGAACTCGACTAATATGCATCCTATGCTCCAGATGTCGCAGGGAAATGACCACCCAAGTCCCAAAATGATTTCTGGCGCTCGGTAATGACGGGTACTGACGACGGAGCTGTGGTATTCGTCTTGGAAAGTGGCACTGCCGAAATCAATCAAGCGAATTTCTGTGTCGAGCAGGACTCTGCGCTGATTCGCCTGCCGGTTGACGGTTGTAGAAGAGGAGGGTATCTTTCGGTTGTAGGTAAAGGTCTGGTAGGCGCTGTCGCACAAAAGAATGTTCTCAGGCTTCAGATCAGTGTGGATGAGGTTGAGATCGTGCAAGACTGCAGTCTGTTAGCGAAGACTCATGCAGAGCTTATGGCAGACTTACAGGCAACGCTGGTGAAGAGCTGTCGAGCAAAGCTCTGAATCTGGCTGTTGGGGAAGGGGACGAAACTGTTGCTCTTGAGGAAATCAAAAACGCTTTGGCCAAGAAGGTCCATGACGATGCAAATGTGGCCGCGATAGTCGAAACAGTCCCTGAGGTGGATACAGCGATTGCGGTTTTCGTCATCGTTGGCCTTGAGTGTTGCGAGAACTCGGAGTTCTATTCGCGAGGCGTCTCGGTATTTTTGGACAGACCGAATAATTTTGATGGCCACCGACTTGTTTCTCTTACGGTCTCGAGCCTGAACGACTTTGCCAAACGTCCCTTGCCCGAGTAGCTTCACCATCTGGTCTGCATTGAAGGTTAGTCCCTGGTGGTTCATCAGATTTTGAGTGTTCAACATACACTTATCCGTAAGGTCGGCGTCAGGAACGACAATGTAGTGTCCATCATCATCGTCGACTTTGGCATTCTTGTTGTAACCCTGCTGCGAGAACATTAGCAAATGGATGAAAGTCGTCTTACGACGAGACGATGATACTCACATCCTGAACCAACCGAACGTGAACGTCGGGCGCTTTCTTGGGAGGGTAAGGAGGCGGCTTGTAGGTAAGGAATGGATCGCCGAGGCCCTCGACCTCTCTCTTCTTTGCCTCTTGGGCAATCTGTTGACGGGTTCTCTTACGCTTCTGACCAGGTTGAGCATCGTAGTACTCGTGTCCATTTGAAGAGAGGGACGTGGCAGCGGTGGTGTGGATGGCGGAGTTTGTAGTGCGGTCGGTTGATATGGTCGATCCGCTGGGGGTGCCGTTGTGGTGAGGAGTGGTAGTATGAGAACCGGCGTACTTATTGTGATAGACGGGATCGTAGTGCTGAGGCTCGTCGTCTCTTTTCCTCTTCTTGGGAACAGGTCGGCTGCTGGCACCATTTGTGGTGGCGCCGTTCACGCTGCCGTTACCATTGGAGACGACCCTTACGCCGTTGCCGACGGCTTTGCCCTGCTCTGGCTCTGGGGTATCATCGATGACGATGATTTCCTTGGGCAAGCCATTCTTATAAAATTTGTTCCAGTCAGGCTCCTTTGATCGTCTCCGCTTGCGAGCGGACTGAGAGGACTGGGAGAGTGAGCTGGTGGCAGGCATGGTGGAGTTGGTGGTGAGCGAGTAGTTCGCGTCGGGACTCGAGACGTCGTGAATGGTCCTCGAACTGGCTGACGAGGCTGAAGGGCCTAGGCCATTTGGGCCGGCGTGACTCGCAGTAGAGGTTGCAGAATAGGCGATGCTCGACGAGTTGGCGTATGCGGGAGGCAATCTCGTCGTTGCTGTGGATGAGGAAGTTGAGAGGATTGGGTTCGCTGGCTGTCGGTACGAAGAGCCGGTAGCAGTAGAGGCCTGGTACGGCTGATGTGAGTAGGGATAATGGGGATGATGGTAATGCGAATGAGGAGGCAATGTCGCTGTGGCCGTTGTGGGAGTCGACATGATTTTCCTCTTGTCTTGCCGGTGTCGAGAGAATCACCTTTGGAGACAGAGAAGAAGGGCGAGGGCGGAGGGTGAGGGCGAGGAAGGAAGGTTCGATGATGGAGGGAAGGCGGAAGGTGGTTTCGCAGGCTTTCGCTGTGCCGGTGTGCTGGGCGCTGAGCGCTGAGGTGGGTGCTGGTAGTGCTGCTGGGTACGTAGTGCTGTCTGTACAGTACTGAGTACGTGCCCGGCTGTACTTTGGTTTTGGGGGGGAGATGATGGAGGGTGGAGGGTTCCCAAATCCAAACAGTGGAGTTCGGGGTTAGTCCCAACGTATCCGTGATCGATCCAGCCCTGAGAAGGAGGATAGAGGGAGCGTGAAAAAGGAGGGAGTGAGCGAGGGAAAGAAGAGTGCAAGCCCAGTGTTATCGGCTTTCAGCGTTCCCTCAGCAAAGAGTGTGCGCTGTGTGCTGTGTGCGGCCCTTGGATTTGGTTGCCGGAGCCAGTGGTGGACCGGTGGTGGTGGTGTCTGGGAGTGGGCTGCAGATTGACGACGTGAGTGGGTAAGACCAGCCTTTGCGGTCTTTGCCTCTGGGCTCTGCCACGGGCGGCTTGTCGCTGCTGCGGTACGGATCCCGCTAGCTAACCTTGGAGAGGGACCACAGGGTCTCCAGCCTAGATTTCCCGAGTCGTGCGCAAAGTGTGGCTGGTACGGGTACAGCGTACGAAGTGGACGGGGGTCGTCGAGGATTCGTTTGATGACAGGACGGACGGTATGGGTATGGGAGGTACTGCGGCAGGCGTATGTGTGTACTGTGCTGTGCTGTGCGGTGCTGTATCCGTTGGGAGGGCCTCTTTGCTACATCGAAGAGGCTATGACGCGACGCGAGTTTCTTTGGTTCGGAAAGGATGAAGTTCTTGCCAGGAATGACGGAAGAAGAAAGAAAGTCGGAGGAAAATCAACAGCAGGAGCAGGGTTGACTGCTGATGATGATAACGATGGGGAAAGAGCTGGAAAAAAACAAGCCGCCGGTCGCTGTGCAGACTCCCAGAGTGCCCACGGTGGACGGGCTGGACGTTATGGTCCAAAAAAAGTGACGAAGTTCCGAGGGATGACCGGTCGCTTCACTCTGTTGGTCCGTGGGGAGCAGTTGGTGAGGTGAGCAAAGAAGTGGAGGGCCCTGACGGGAGGAGGCGACCAATTGTGGAGAATTGACGACCTGAGGGACGAGCACGGGAGGACAAGACAGGACGAGGGCGGCTTGGTGGTGGACACACCGTGACTTTGGGATTGCTGGACGCGGGCGATGAAGCCAAGGGGAATGAATGAACCTGATGAGTGAGGTAGGTGTGGGTGACGGGACTAACTGGGCGTATGGGCGTGTATGTACTTTGGTGACTTTGGTAGTGTGCGTGCAACCGAGTGTGCGTGGGAGCGGAAATGGAAGCAGCCAAAGTGGATGAGGACGACAGGCGGCGGAACACACGAGATGGGGAAGATGGAAGGTTACGTTGGTTAAGAACCTCCGATGTGGGATACTTGTTACTACGCTGTCCGACACACGCAGGCAGAAGTATCTTCAACCGTAGCCTGGCGGCTGGCCCGCGCATTTCGGCTACTTCTGGTCAGGTTAAGGTAGGTAAGTACCCAGCCATGGAAGGTGCCTGCCACGCAGTGAGACGAGAGACTGGTCGCCTTTCCATTTTCCTTTACTTTCCCGACTCTTTTCCTCGTTCACCTCGGGGAATGAAAAGCTAACAAGACGTATAGTCAGAGGAGTTTCGCCCACGATTCCGACATAACGTAGTCTCCAGTTAAGCCCACTTCGAGCCAAGGCAGAAGGCGGCAAGACGGACAGGTTCCTGTCGCTTTCTCGCGCGTCGAGTCGAGTCGAGTGCAGCCCAGGACAATCAAGGGACCACGGAGTCCTGACAGGGTATGGAGGGAACCTAAGGCTGATGTGCACCGGGAAGCATCATAAATCAAGCCGGTCACTATTTGACAGAGCTGCGACTGTCGGGTATTTGGTCTCTCTACCAGAGTTCTGTTCGTCTCTACCGGGAAAAAAAGTGCCAAACCTCGCTGCATCTCATGCCTCTTCCAAATGGCTCAAGAACATTCATGTCAGTTCCTTCTCCAGGCCTGAGGTGGGAATATCTACGGATATCTGTTACCCTTCGTGCCTTCCAGACTCCAGAGGTACAAGGTGTCCGCCTCAGCGCCTGTGTTCATACAGGTACCTTATATCGGAGAGAGTGGGAGAGTGGAGCCCGGGCGAAGCGCAGGATGGAGGTAGGTAAGGTACTTGGAGACTGTGCCCTGCCACGCCTGCTTGCGCGCCTCTGTCAGATGGCGCATGTACCTTAGCGTCGGATTGACTAAGGCAGGTACTTGACAACGACTGCAGACCAATGCCATGACGCAAGTATCTTATCGTGAACGCCCACTCAGCATCATTCAAAACGTCTTTCTTGCTGCAGCGGAAGCAGTGCCGTGCAGTGCAGCACCGGATTTGTCCAACTTGATCCGACATGTGCCAGAGTCTTGATGCCGTCTTTGCGGCAGACTTTGAGGAACGAGAGCCTGGCGATGATGAGATTGGTTCAGAGATGAGGTGTCCGTACTCGCGATGATGTGGCAAGGCAGAAAACTAGGGTACTTTGACAGTGTTTCCATGTTGGGTACGGAATATTGTTCCTCATCAAGCGAGATAGGGCGTGTTCCAGGTTGTTAATCTGTGCCCGCGGGATCATCAACCATAACGTAGCAAGCGACAGTGTTTTGAGCATATGGCTCCCCTCGGAAGGGAATCTCGGGCTTGGTGCTTCGATTCAGACAGGACGAGACGGAAGGTACTTCGGTTGGCTGCAACTTGCAGGTGCTTCCGTGCTTTTAGCCTCTCGCCTACTGTACATCCGGCAGGAACAAGGGGCTTGTCGCCGATGTGAGTGAGGTACAGGGCATTTCGGTCTTGACGCACACCATATTTCCAGGGCCCCGTACTTTATTTCGGGGGGAGGGGGGGAGCTTTGGCGGTTCGACATTGCGAGTGGTTTCCGGCTTCTTTGTAGGTTTCATTTCTTCGTCTGCTTGAATCGTAAGTAAGTTCCTAAACTGAAGTGAGATGCCTTCAGTAAGCCCTAAGACAATTGCCATGTTGAAACCTCGAGGTAGGTACGGGATAGGTACTAAGGTAGGTATGTGTCTTGGAGGGAAGAAAGGACGAATGCCCCGCCATTTCTGGTGAGGCAAGAACGAGAGCGGCAAGAGTAACCCCAAGTACTCCGTACACCTGCCCACCTAAGATAGTTTACCGTAGGCAAGATAGAAACCAGCGATGACACTGTACCTACTGCGTAGAAGGACGGAAGGAGCCACGAAGGAAGGACGCTACTTCTCAAGCGGTGCTTCAATGGCGTGAATGGGACTGTCCGTCTGGCCGCATTCTAGCGTCTTTAGACTGTCATCGTCGTACGGAATATTGCTCCCACATTCTTGTCTGCCTACCTCACTTTACACAAAATGCAGTCTTGAATTCTTTATACGCCGCGCCGTTTTCCAACAAAGTCATTCTGTCGCCCTCTCTTCGATACAAGCGTAAATCGGCACGCACGCACCCAGCACACTTCTAGGTATCCTTCTCTCTCTCTGTGTGTGTGTCTCTCTCTCTCTCTCTCTCTCTCTCTCTCTCTCTCTCTCTCTCTCTCTCTCTCTCTCTCTCCCCCTCCAAGCTCCAACCGGACGGCTCCCGCTGGCTCTTTCCTTTTCCAGACAGAAGACACACCACCGACAAGCCCTCAAGTCCCTCAACGACATCTCAATAACCGGGGTTGTGGCATGGGAGGAATTTTGCGGCACTCAAGACTCTGTCGATACTTAGTCTGAGGATCGATCTATCCGTCTTCACGACCAACTGCTTTCATCGCTTGTTCTCTCCATTCTCATCCTCATGAGATTAACCAGCTATACGGCAACGGCCATGTATCGGTATCATCTCGAAATGCACGAATACAGCATTGTGCCCTTGTGGTTGTGCGCCCAAGGAACCCATGTCCGATGACTTCGCCCAAAGCTTGACTTGTCACGCTCGCAAAATCAAAGACACGCCAATTCAGTGGCCGCCGACATCTTCACGCTTCGTGCTTCACCCTTCTCGCTCCTCCTCTCACCCACTTTACGCACTTGGCGGGTGGCTCTGGAGTCCGCCCTCCACCCCAACTTTGCTGCCCGCCAATCTGCCTCCACGACAATCTTCCAGACGGGTTTAGCGTCCCGCCGGCCTGGGCAAGTCGCCTCTTTCAAAGTCACGTCGTTGCACAGCGAGTGATGGCCTGCCGCTGCCGCTGCCGCTCCGTCACTCTGTCACTCCATGACCGTATAGTCATGCCCAGAGTACCAGCCCATACTCTTTTCTCTCGCAGTTGCGTTGTACTCGATCGCTGCTTCTCATAGTAGCCTGGGATGGCCGCGACTGGACTGGACTGGATCGGCTTGGTCTGACCATCCAAACGGAGCGCACACACGCGCACACCTCAAAACCAGCCGCCTTCACGATGGATGGACAAACGAAAAGGTTGGATGAATGGAGCCAGTCCCCACCAACCAGCCCCAGCCCAGTGCTACTGCTCCACGGCGAGCAGGGCAAACCAGCGCGCAACGGCAGCCTGACATATCGGGGCTCCGTGCTGACAAGAAAGAGAGCCCTGCACAGTTTACTTTAATTCGAGGAAACGATGCCTGGTCATCATCACGCTGGTTTGCTCCGAAATCCCAAGCCCTTTGGCTGCTGCAATACGTCAGAAGGATCCAATACTGCAGACCGGATGAGTCCCCTAAATGGATCCTGGTACTGCCTTTAAACTTCACCTCGTCTCGCCATGACCGATTGTTCTGGTACTTCTGATCGCCTCCTCGTCCGTAGCTACAACCACTCTGATTGTTCTTCCTTCTTGAATATTGCATCACCTTATGGCATGGCACCGGAAACTTCAGCAACTTAGTTAGCGCCGCCGGCTGGCGGTTGGCGGCGTTGAGCATCAGTCCAAACACGGCGCAAAAGCATGATCCACACATTCCACGCAGTCGTCCAAGATCTGATCGCGCTGAAAAAGCTAATGGAAACAATGATCCGTACCAAGATGCACAGTGAAGGAAAGACAACAAACGCTTCAGCATGGAGCCACGGAAATGAAAGCTTTTGACCTACTTATTCAGCCAGCCTGCACTGGCCGCCTTCTTTGGCTTGACATCCCTATGGATACCGCTGCTTTTGATCTGATCCCACCGTCTCCTCTATGGCAACCCAGCAGTGCACACTGGCAGCGCAATCACCGGCGAATCTCTAAGCACTTCTTAGTGTCCACATCCCTGCTTCCCGTCCAAAGGTGCGCCAATGGGGTTTTCGAGGAGCAACACCTTCTCTCGCCATCGACCAACCATGGGTGTAGTTTACAACTGGGTGGGGAGAGCAGGCAAAGGGTCGCAGCCATCGCGACGCTTGTGAGGAGGCTCGGAGGCAGTGAGGAATACCCGACTTGAGCGTAGAGAGGCAGGAGGCTTGTGAACGTCTTCTTCGAGATTAATTGGGAGACCAGGTTATCTATCAGCACAGAGAAGGGCAGGGCGGAGCGGAGAGAGGGAAATCTGTGCTGTCACCGGCCCCTCTCCCCGACCAACATCATGCCTGCATACGCAACTGCACCTCAAGAGTCAAGGCTCAC